CCTAATATAACTTTTAATAAACATTTTTAAGAAAATAATGGTTGTACAAACATAACCTTAAAATAAAACATTTTTATATTTGAGTCCTCTACAAAAAACGCCGACAACTGCATTTTAATATAGTAAACGACAAAATATATCTATGAATTTATAATACCCGTTTTTCGTATTTTACCGTTCTCAAAACTCAACCCAGGATATTCTCTCGAAAAACACCCAACATTACACGTTGTTTTCTTGATATTTTTAACATTTTCCGGCCTTCTAGCTATGCTTCTTTAGCTATAGGTTTAAATAGTATTGTGCTGTAAAATTTTAATACAAAACCGTTGAACAAGTCGTCATTTATCATGGTAATCATTTTATGCCACATCAAATGGTATCTTGTCTTGTATCTGCTTTTAACAATAATATTACTTTAATGAACTTCAGACATGACACTTAAATAGATAAAAATAGGAAAGCATATACCGAGACATACACGCATATCGTACAAATTGTTGTGTATCTTTATTGGTGAACTAATTTCTACTTAATAGTTGGAAATTTAATTGAATTAAGTTTGGGTAGGTATTTGTTAAAATTAATTGAAATACCTTGGGAGTGAATTTTAAACTTCATGGACTTGAGTAATCTAAACAAAATTATAGTGATTTGCCTTTTCTATAGACATATCATGTGATAATAAAAAAAGGATTTCCGTTGAAGTTTCTACCTGAGTTGTATCTTCTTTTAAATTAAATGATATAGGAAAAACAGGTGTGTTATTTAATAAATATAATTACGAATCCAAATAGGACCTGTACTTAATTAAAAGTGATCAAATATTTACCGAAAAAAATTTTGTTATTTTTTTTGTTTAGGAAATTGATTAATAAAGCAACATTTCTTATCAAAATTCTTTTTATTTAAGTTCCCAATTTCCAAACAATACTTTTGTTATTGGATCTACAAAAAGGTTTGTAAAAATAAGGTCCTTTTTGAAAATTACAAGAATTATGGTTGAATTATTGATATAGAATTATGTTATTAAATCTACAAAATGTTTGTTACAAACTACTTATTCAATTGGTTAACGGATTATAATTGGTTGTAGACTTAACATCAAGTTATGTTGACCTGAATTAACATAAAAAGTAAAGCTTGTTTTTTGGTGACTTTTTTCACATGTCCAGGTAACATAAAAGTTATATCCAGACCCAGATTATATTATTTAAAAATCCTTTCTATGGAAGAGAGTCCTCGGAAGATGGTCTTTTGACAATGCTTTTTTAATAATTCTTAAATTGCTGTTCATCACCTTTGATCCTTTTGGATAAACAGCTTTTTGAATAATCTCAATGTGAAAGGCCATATCCCTTCCTCAGAAAAAATATTATTATAATAAATTGCTTTCATTGAAAAAACACTTTAAGAAAAAATGACGCTGCAATAAAAAGGATTATTGACAACACTGTACAAACAGGTCCCACTCTTATACAGCACGCAAGCAGAAATTTAGCGAAGACTTAAGGCTTATGCTATCTTATTTTAAAATCGCTTATTCTTGCATATGTTAACAATTAGGTAAATATACATACATTAAGTACAATTATAATTTCAAAAGTAGTTTTTTATCCACTATAGCAAGTGCGTATTACGCTCATCCCGCCATTAAGCAGATCTAAAAGTATAATTAGATTGCATATTTACTTTTATTTTTAGTTAGTAGGGGACTGCAAGTTAAAATCTTTTTGTTTGAATTATATTATATTATGTACGAGGTGTGTTCAGAAAATATCGGGAATTTTCGTTTTTTGAAACAAATATTTATTTATTCGTCTATATTAATGTTGTCGCCTTCAAAATATGTGCCAGCTCTTCTTCCAATACTCGAAACACTTCTAAAACTCCATCATTGGGATAGCCTTTAGTTCTTTCAGCGATGCGCTTTTAATGTCATCTATGCTTGCAAAATGACGGCTCTTTAAGGTTCTCTTTATTTTTGGGAATAGGAAAAAGTCAGACAGAAGCATGTCTGGCGAATATGGAGGCTGGGGAATAATTACAGTATTGTTTTGGCCAAAAATTCTCTTCAAAGTTTAACAATTTTAGAACAAATTTTGCTGCCACGCATTTCATACCCAAAACATTCGAAAAAATTTCATGGGATGAGTCAATCAATATGGTAAATTCTCATATAACTTGTTTCGATGCTGTATCCACTTATTTTTGTGAAAACTAATTCTCGCTCAAGGTTTTTTTTAGTGTAATGAGCAAGTAGCATTTTAAGGTAATGGGAACTTAAATTATGACAACCCTAATCTATTAATTTTTTCCTAAAATGCAGGCTTTATGTTGCAAATGTCACATAAGTTACCGGTCACCAACTGCAATATCCTAACATTGATGAATATTTTAACAAAATGGCTGTTGAAACAACTAATGTTAGTGCTTGATTAACTCAATATAGACTTAATTAAGATTGACGAAAAATTCTTTTATCCGAAATCGGCAGTAAAGTAGAACTTTACTGCCGATTTATTTTAATTTACGATTGTTGACTACTTTACTGCCGATTTCGGATAAAATAATTTTTTGTCAATCTTAAGTCTATTTTTAGTTAATCAAGCACTAACATTAGTTGTTTGAACGGTCATTTTGTTGAAATATTCATCGATGTTAGGATATTGCAGTTGGTGACCGGTAACTTATGTGACATTTGCAACATAAAGCCTGCATTTTAGGAAAAAATTAATAGATTAGGGTTGTCATAATTTAAGTTCCCATTACCTTGAAATGCTACATGCTTATTACACTAAAAAAAACCTTGAGCGAGAATTAGTTTTCACAAAAATAAGTGGATACAGCATCGGAACAAGTTATATGAGAATTGACCATATACCAACATCATCAGCGACTTCTCTGATGGTTTATAACGATTTCTTCCACTTTTTCCATGTTTTTATCGGTTATTAATGTGCTTGTGCATTCGGGGCGTTCGTCATCTTCAACGTCTTCACGGCCATCTTGGAAACTCTTATACCACTTGTAAACTCTTGTTTTACTTATAGCAGACTCACTATAGGCTTTTGTTAACATTTTACAGAATTTATTTCATTTTTTAAGCAAAATTGGATACAAATTCTTTGATCCATTTCTTTTAACGAACGAAAAATCGCCGAGCTCATAAAACACGTCTAACCTTAGCGGCTGCCACAGACAAAGTAAACAATGAAAACAGCTATCATACTTCGGGGGCATGTATACCAACATAATAAAGAAAATTTTATGAGAACCGGACCCTCCGAACCCGCGAAATTTAACAATTCCCGTTATTTTCTGAAAACACCTCGTAAACTTTAAAATTAAACTTATTTGGGGTCGACATGTCGCGACATGGCAAGGGTACGAATTGGGTGCAAAAATTTCCAAAAGAAATTAAACTGACAATTGTCTACATAATAACATATGGTTTATTATTTCCATAAAATGTATTGTAGATTTACTATTGAATATAGTAGTAACGACCCATAAAATTTCTTTTAGATGATTTTATACTTCTTAATCAAAAGAGCAAAATTTTAGCATTGCTTAGCGCTAAACATGAAAATCACACTCAATTTTTTTATGGATTTTCAATTGTTGTTTTTTCAATTTTCAGGTGTTTTGACGTTTTTGAGTATAGCTCGAAATCTAATTGATCGATTTGGTCAAACAAACCCTTAAATTAAAGGTTTTTGAGCCCTCTAAAACCTTCTTTTACATACTTTTGATATCGGATAAGTATTTTGACCCTAGCGATTTTAATAACATAAAAAAATCGTTTTTATGGCAAAAATTGAGGTCGAAAATTTACATATCGTCCTGGGAAGGGTTTAAATCAAACAGATAACTCCAGTTTGAATTTTTTTTCGTGAAGCTGATATTTTTACAAAATAAACAATGTTGATAAAAATAAATGAAAAAATGGCCAAAATTAAGATTTTTGACGATTTTTATTTTATTTTGTTCTTTTATTTTGTGGTATATTTTTAATTTTTAATGAAAACCTAAGTAAAGTGCATGATTGGAATTTGTTGAGTTTTTTACGTATTTTTTTTACCGAAATTTAAATTTGAAATAACTCCGCAAACGTGAATTCTTTTGTTTCTCGTGTTGGCATAGTGACATTTTACTGCTATTTTTTGATATTTCAACAAGGTATTTTTATAATGGTTTCATTTAGCTAATAAAAAGTGTAAAATGAGTAAAAGAAGTAGAGAGTTCGAGTGCGTAAATAACCCGGACAATCTGGGCGACGTAAGTGATGAGCACGGAGAACGTTTTCACCAGCAAATGAAGGCTATGGAGCGGCGGTATCACGGCTTCTGGGATGCAGCCATGATGGGTGATTACATTTGGTGTCTTATACGAGAAACGGAATACGAAAGCAACAAAAAACAAAGAAGGAGCCAGAATTTTTTTAAACCTATGCTTTTTAAAACCAAATAAAACTTTCAATAACTTCAATGTTCAATATTAAATTATATATAATTCAGTAAAATGAAGAAAAAACGTAAAAATTCTCGAAAAACTGAATTTTGCTCTTCCACTGAAAAATTCATAGCTTCGCCATTAATCCATGGATTTTTATCAACAGCAGCTTATGTAAAATAAATCAAACTGGACTTATCTTTTCGATTTCTATCTTTCCCAGAAAGATATGTAAATTTTCGACCTCGATTTTTGTAAAAAAGGACTTTTTCAACTTCATTTAATCGCCAGTACCGAACTACTGAGCCGATACCAAAACTATACAAAAGAAAGTTGTAGAGGACTCAATTACTTTTGATTTAAGTGCTTGTTTGGTCAAATCAATCTAGAACTCGAAGTATACTCTAAAACGTCAAAACAAAAATCAATCATGAAAAAAATTTTAAGTGTGATTTTCGCGTTTAGTGAGCCAAACTACACAAGAAAATCATAGTGAGACATGGACCTTATCTAGTCTTAATTAAAATTGCGTAAAAGATACTTACAATCTTCATTGCCGATAAGTGGTGGATATAGCTATGAGTTCCTGGATTATAATTCCCCTGGAAAAAATAATACATATTTTAATTGAATGAAAACAATCTTTAATAAAATTAATAGTAGCAATTCTTTTATGCAGTTAAGAAGAATCGAAATTACGGTAACTCCATCAATTTAATTCCCGCCTTTGTTTTATTTTCTTGTTGAATTCATTGAAAAAACGCGGCCGTCACTACCCAACGTACGATACGTGGATTATTAGAGTCGCCCAGTTTTAATTTGAAATAGCCACGATAAAATCGCGCCTTTCCGTTTCTGTTTCTTTACCAAGGTTGGACTAAGGAAAAGGTGACTTAAGTTACGATTCAAGTTCTTTGTACTTGCTATAAAGACTATGTAGACAGTAGCTTTTGTGCTTGATTATTTTATACATAAGTGTTGTGTGTAATAATAAATACGAGTTGGTTTATAAACGATTAGAAGTTTTGAAATCAATTTTAAATAAATATTTTTATTTATTTATTGTTTGTTATTATTTATTATTATGATGTATTTCTAAAATTTTGAGTGTCTTATTGGGACAAAATCCTACGATTTGTCAAAGTAATGAGATTATTTTTATTTACAGAATAAACTTTTTTTACTTTTAATAAAATTCTCATTTTCTATAATGAAGCAGCAATGTTGAGCTTTTATAAAAAAATGTTCATCCAACAAAGTAATTGTTGTTATCATATTGTCATGGCAATAAGAAATACTTTATGTTTATTTTAAATCTTTGTCGAACTTAAAATGGTTTTGTTAAATCTATAGTTGTGTGTGAATTGCGCTTACATAAAGTAATGCACAGTTGTTATAGTAAAATTTGTTCATTTTACTATGGCATATTTGTCTTTTTAAATTACTATCGTTGTAATTCAAATTAATTTTATTTCAGTTAAAAAAATCTTTACTAAAAGCTTACGTTAAGAACAATAACAAAATTATGTTATTGCTATAAAAAGACTTTTTTAATATTTACTATTGTTTTGCAATGGTAACAAAATTTTAGTTATTTCCCTTAAAAAGAGGGGGAACATAACTTTATAATTCAAAGTCTGTGCTATAATCGTATTGATTTCACTTGTGCGAGTGAAGTGTGGTAAAATCTAGCATGATAAAAATATCAAAAAGATCACTAAGAAAATTAAAATTTCGACGTTTTCTAAAAGAAACATTTAAGGTATATTCTATAAACGAAGCAGACTTGTTGTTTAAAAAGTGAGTTCATATTTTTTTTATTTTGTACATCCTATAATATGAGTTAATTTTTTTGTTATAATATTATAATTCCTTGAAATTATAAAAAAACTCAATACCCAACAGTAGGTTGAAAATCTGACCATTGTTTCAATGAAAATAGTTTATTGAATTAACAATTAATTTGTTGTTAAATTTACATAAATTTTATTGATATTATAAAAAAAGTTTTATTTTAAACGAAAAGGGATTTGTAAAATTTACAATATTTCTATGAAAAATACCATTAGGGTTTCATTAATACTACAAAACGTTTTTGTAAACGGTATAGAACTGTTTTTTGGACAAATAAATCTAACTATATTTTTTAATGCGTTTCTGCATCTAGAAGAGTGTTATTTTTATAAACATAACTTAAATTTACTTTATAATGAATGCAAATGCTATTACTAAAAGCAGCGTTAATAGATGAATAATTTTTAAGTTGTTTTTTCGGCGTTTAATTTTTTTCCCAAAACTTTAGATGCATACGTTAGAAGTAGAAGCTGGACTAAATTTGTGGATCCAATTAGACGGAGCCCCAACTTACTTTGCTGTCCAAGTAAAAGGGCCTCCAAGATCCCCAGATCTTACCCCGTTCAATTTTTTTCTGTGGGATCACATCAAATCCCTCGTTCAAAAGGAACAAGACCTTTCAAAAAAATTTTAAATACGCAATTATGGTATTTATAAGTATTACTAATTATGTACGCCAATGTTTTTACTGCTACACAAACATTCGTATGAATAATTTCACGCAACCATCAATATTGTACCCATCTTAAAATTGATCTCGAAATTTGATTGTATGAGTACAGTTATTGTTTCAAAGGCACACTAACATGAATTTTATCTTAATCGACATGGTGTGTGTTTCACGATTAAGTAATTCAATAAATTTAACTGGGTTTCATGAGACAAAAGCGACTTATTAATTAAGAAGAATGACAAAAATAAATTTGTACAGATTTTCTATTGCAAATACTAAAAAACTATGCAATCTTTTTCAGGCCGAGGTAATTAAAACTAATTGGATTGAATGCGACTTAAATTTAGCAGGACATATTGAATTACGTTTAAAACTTTTACTTTGGATAAAATTATTTAAGCATAAAAGGTATTAGGAAATACTCTGCAATCAGTATTGGCTTTGATATAAATAGTAAATTTCCCAGCTAGGTATTTCACGACCTTTGCATTTTTAGCAAAGTCGTATTTTAAAGTTTTCATAACAAGCAAGAACAATAATGATTCACCAATGATTAAAAACTGAGGAAATACCTATTTCGCAACTTTACTCTCGCCTTGAACTTATTGTATTTGTATGCGTAGGCAAAATAATGCCATCCCATTTTCCACATTTGGCACCGCAGACGTGACTCAACTTTTTTACGTCTAGAGTAGTTTTATGTTTATTAATTGGTATTTGGAGCAGGAAATTGTGTTTATAAATATTTAAACTATTGGCCCACTTAGCATACCTGGTACAAAATGTATACTTTTGTTGGTTTTATGGATTTTTTTATTTCGTTTTTGTAAATATCATATAATTCATATATTTCTTTCTCGGATTCCTCATCCCTTTTCTGGATTCTGAAGGTAACTACTAATTTCTTGGTCTGACTTCTGAAATAGTTTGTTGCAAATATAATATAAGTGTGGTATCTCTAATTTGTGAAGCATTTATAATGTTTAGGTCGGAACAGGATGATTTATATATATCTAATATTTTTTCGGGTGGTATGTTAAAAGTATTTTCCGAATTTTTTAATTTTGTTGCCATTAGTTTTTTATGTTTTTCATCATGCACTGTTATTCTGCTAGATGTCCTGTGACGAAGAAATCACTATATTACTTATACTCTAAAAATGAATTGGTCAAAAATGTCATAACGAAAAAGCAGCCACTAATAATTCTCGTCAACATCAATTTGTATCCATGACATTTAGCAGTCAATTCCTATGAAATATTATTCGCTGAATCCGAAAATGTCGTCAAAAGTTATAAAAGTAGAACAGTTTTTGAAATATAATCAATTTTACATATAATATGGCATTGACTATACTTAAAACCTGCTTAATTTTTATAGTTTTTGATGGTCTTTTTGGATTTAGGGGACAATCTTACATAAGAAGTGGATGGTAAATGTCCGGGGTACAAATAGAGTATGTTATTGGACATATGTCCAATAATAGAAATTTACATTTTTTACCAACCAGTAATTGGACACTGGCCATTTTACTGTTTGTTTTTAGAATTAAAATTAAAACGCATTAAAGTGACATGAGGAACACACTGATCTGTACACTTTTTAGAAATATTTTTTATTGTAATTTAAACACAGCCCTGCTCTTAACAAAAAAACAAAAATCTTACCACCAAAGTAACGGGTGAACTTTTTTGTCCTATATTGGACCCAAAATAAAGTAGTTCTATATTATTACCGATTGAGATATTTATAATTGGATACAGCGTCATTTGACTTTAAGGTAACTATTAATAAAACTCTTGTTTTTACAGTATTAATGTTAATTGTCCAATAACTATAAGTGTCCAATAATAAGAAATGGTTTCGCACAGTGGGGCAAACAATTTTAAAAAAATTAAATTTTTATTTTTTTTTTAATATAAATTCTCCTATTAATGTAAAAAAATTAACAAAATTTTCGAATGGCGTTTCAAAAATAAAAAAAACTACCAATTGATTTCATTGACCTATATTTAATTTAAGTAAAAATTACGAGAATACAATTTGTATCCTCATTAGACTATTTATTTATTAATCTTTAAAAATTCTTGCGAAAAAAGAAAGCGTACAATAATATAAGTTTAACATTATTCATGGTTAATAATATTTACAAATGAAAACACAGATCGTGAGTGATAATTCTCTTTGAATTGGTTTAATTACTCCTTTACGTCAACAATCCAATTGCGACACTTATAAGCAAGAAAATCTTAAGAAATCCTAAGAAAACAAATTTATTTTATTACAATTATAATAACAATTAATAAAAGTATAAAGTGAGGTGAGATAGCTTCAGAGGAATTTTTACAGACTAGGATGTAAAAAACTTTACTTGGTTGGTCTAAATTATAGAACTCTTTGAAGATATAAGGAAATAAATTTTAAAAACCATATTCAATAAATTTTTTCTTCCAAGTACGAGGTGTGTTTAGGAAATAACGGGTTCGGAGGGTTCGGTTGTCATAAAATTTTCTTTATTATGTTGGTTTACATGCCCCCGAAGTATGATAAAAACTTTAGCTGTTTTCATTGTTTACTTTGTCTGTGGCAGCCGCTAAGGTTAGACGTGTTTTATGAGCTCGGCGATTTTTCGTTCGTTAAAAGAAATGGATCAAAGAATTTGTATCCAATTTTGCTTAAAAAATTAAATAAATTCTGTGAAATTTTAACAAAGGCCTATAGTGAGTCTGCTATGAGTAAAACAAGAGTTTACAAGTGGTATAAGAGGTTTCAAGATGGCCGTGAAGACGTTCAAGATGACAAACACCCCGAACGCACAAGCAGATTAACAACCGATAAAAACATGGAAAAAGTGGAAGAAATGGTTATAAACCATCAGAGAAGTCGCTGATGATGTTGGTATATCGATTGGCTTATCCCATGAAATTTTTTGGAATGTTTTGGGTATGAAACGCGTAGCAGCAAATTTTGAACAAAATTTTTGACCAAAAACAATACTGTGATGATGCCCCAGCCTCCATATTCGCCTGACATGCCTCTGTCTGACTTTTTCCTATTCCCAAAAATAAAGAGAAC